TTATATATATATGGTCAATTTTATTAGTGCTCGTAGAGCATTATATGTCAGTATATTCTAGGTAAATGCTCACAAAAAGATGATTTATGTGATTTGTTGAAATTGTTTGCACATAAATAACACTAAAAGAATTTAAACTTATATCTCCAATATAGTTTCTCGCCTTTTAATAATTAAATATATAATACTTTTGTTCTTAGAAATTAATCTTAAATAGGATATCTTTGACAAATGCACTTGTGAGCATGTGGTAATCTTTTCTCCATTCTAAGTCGAGTCATCATCATGATTATATCTAGGTGGAATGAGAAATGAAAAGAATCGAGTTACCTTCTCTATTATGGCTGCAACTCAACATCAGAAACAGCAAAAGGAACTTAGACCATCCAATTATTATTAATTTCAAGGACAGAGGATAAAAGAAAAGCCCAGGGAGGCCATGCCCCCAAAACTTTTCAAATTCCTTGTATACATTTAGTTATTATTATTATTATTATTAGTTGTTCCCTCAAAATTTTATTTTATATAAGTTACATTCTTTAAAAAAAAAAAAAAATCACCCCCCTAGTGTCTTGCTCAAGCTCTATCCTCGAGATTAATTTGTTACTTCATGTTTAAATTGAGATTTAAATTTTAAGTTTTTAACTTTATTTAACATTTGAAGTGTAAAAAGAGAAACAAAATAGTTCTGCACTAGAAGAATTTTGACTTGAAAAGATAGAACCATAACAATCCTCCTTTTTTTTTTCTTTTTCTTTTTTTTTTCCTTTTTAAATAAGATTCATGCACAATTAAAAGAGCAGAAAAAGTTGGGATATATAGAAGCTACACCAGATACAAATTAAAAGCGACCTTGGCACACCTGTTTGGTCCTATTTCTACATCATTTTGTGGACATCATTCTCAAAAATTAAATGGTTGCAAATAGGTAAACCATGTCTAATGGCTACAAAGGGATTTCAACTTCATCCACTTATCTGCTTGGTGTTTGATATGACATGAGTATACTGTCTAGACCTAAATTCACTGCCTGGGAAAAGTTTTTGATCTTTTTGGGATTAAGGGGGAATTCATGATGGGTGGGGGGATCTTTTGTTTTGACTATGGGATGGAAGCCATGATGTTTTGTTCTAGGACATGAGTGGGCTTTGAGGGCCACAAAATTCCCACTTTAATTTTTTTCTCAGGTCGGTTGTGGTGGACTAAACAAGAAGGAATCCCAGGAGAGAGTGGATTTCATGACGCAGGAGACATATTTATTTTTTTCGCTACATTTTTTGTTGTGTCATTCTATCAATGTTTCCACCATGATAGGATTAAAGCAAGCACCAAGCAAACCAAATTATCTTGTCTGAATTCTAACTTTTTAACATGTGTATGTACAAGTACCACAATGAAGAGCATTTTTTTTTCATAGTGTCGTTTTGGTTAAAGACAGACTATCCGTATATTTAATTATGGAATTCATGAGGTATTAGCTTCTCCCAACCTACCTAAGAATTCATTAGACTAAGATATGGTAGAAGATGAAAAAGAATAGGAAAATGATTAAGGGACAAATTTTACATATAACTTTCTTTATACAAACTTACATATTATATAATAATTTGCTGTTTTTATTTTATTGGGACTTATAATATTATATATATTCACTTATTTAATTAAATATAAAAATTATAAATCAAAATCTTACAAATAAGTTATCTGCTATTATTACCCAAAAAAATAAAAGAACAATCAGAGAACAGATTACACCCATTATAGAATTATTACAAAAACGCTAACCTGAGTTTGGGAGTTATGGGTATCGGGCCTTAATACCAACAATGCTGTCTCCAATTTAGTTAAGCCCATTTACTCAATTTGGGCCTCTACCCAAACCTATATAATATAGCCCAGCCCAACTCAATTTGAGAGTCCATAATATCCATTACATGGGCCTTCCTGGGCTTAGAAACGCTCCGCCGGCGGCTCTGCTGCGGCTGTGCGCCACCATTCATTATTTTATTTTTAAAAATTAAAAGAAACATTGAGAAAGTCGCTGGAGTTGGTAAGAAGAGAAAATCCTTTCCAAAAACATTGGAGACTCATTTTCTGCAATTTTTTATTGAAAAAAGTTTAATCTTTTTCAAATTGTTTCTCGATTTCATACACTAAAGAGAAATGTATGTGTACGGTTGGTTGACGTTTTACCTTAGGGCATTAACATTGCAAAAAAGGACACCAAATAATTGAAAATTAGTATTGCATAAATTGAGAAAAGAACAATTGACAATGTAGTGAGTGT